GGGCTTCGGTGAGCGCTCTGGCGAAAGGAACTATGCCCTGTTTGTGCAAGCTCGTCGCAGCGCCCCGATGGCCGCCATCCGTGCACGACTCCCCTGGGATTCCGGGTCGTCGTCGTGGTCTTTACTGCTCGTGGACCTCTCCGGTCATTTAACTGTGTTATGGGCCTCGTAGAGCATCCCGTGCAATCGCTTTGTCAGCCGTCCCTTTTCTTGTGCAGTACCGAGAGGTTTTGTGGGTACATTGCTGCAAAAGAAGCCTATTTTGTCTAAGCACAAACGGAAAACGCAAAAAACGTAAAAAAAAAAACAAAAAAAACGGTTGAGGTTAGTAGAGTTTTACCGAAGCTGTACTAGAAACCGAGGCCAAGAAAACGTAGCGGTACTTGAAGAGATTTCTGACGCACTTAAAGTGTAATTGTAAAAGAAAAGAAGAATAGCTTACAGTTCTTTTTACTTCAAGAACTACGGCAAAAAAAGAAAAGTAGCCCGGGTGTTCGCGGAGCGTTATTAATTTCCCCCTTTATGCGCCGACTTAAGGTGTATGTAGGTGCATTTTAGATTATATACGTTTTATCAAGACGTACACGTTTCAAACGCCAAAAGCATCGCTTTTTTCTCGGACCACCAAATCTTGTAAGAACTGCTTCGAGCGGCGTAACAACAATGGGCAAAACTTTTTTTTTTCTTGACGTAACATGGAGTATGCAGCCAATTCCTATAGGTTCCCGCAGATAGCGTGACTATCGAATCTGGTGGCCCATAATAAAAATTGCGCCGACGATCACGCACCGTGATCCGAATGAACAGCGCCAGCTGATGTGACATTTTGATAATACTGTGTCGTGATTGAGGCGAAAGTTCGTTGATGTCGCGTGGTGATGTGACATTTTGCGTCGCGCGGTCATTGCTACGTTTGTGCTACCTGCCTACGCACAAACACTATAGGCAAGTAGCACACATCTTGAGGCTTAAAGGCAGCCAGGTCACTGTCCGGGTACGGCTACTGTACAGGGTGATTTAAGGAGACGCCAGGCTCTTTAAATCGACCGCAAAATTCGGTTTCTTAACCTATCACGCTACGACTTTGTGCAGCGTTACCCACAGATGGTGCATTTTTTTTGTAAAATTTGCAAAGAGCGAACATACCCCAGTAAAAAGTAAAGAAAGAGAAAGGCTTAGCTCATATAGAAACGCAGCGAAGCCACCGGTCTTCAAACAACACGGCGCCGTTTCGCACGGGAGACAAAAGATCGCGCAAGCGGTCGCGACGCCAACTGCCGCCAACGAACGAGCATACGACGCTGAGAGACGGCGTCTTTAATAATAATAAAATAATTTTTATTTCTCGGGTGCCCTAAAACGGCCGAGAGGCCTTCTCTTAGGTACACCAACTCGTACAATAGAAAATCTTAAACAAAAATCCTTCTCATTAAAAAAAGAAATAGATGCATATACACTGACGCGCTATGAAGTGACCAAAAGTTCGTCCAACTGACAGCGAAATGTAGGCAGGGGTGTGGTGATGTCAACTTGAGGTGGCACAATGCTGTTATATAATGTCTGTAAACGAGAAAGAGGTGACACACGGCATGGTGAGCAAATATCAAAACAGGTGAGCTGTCTCGTCGCGCGGAAAGGAACATGGAAATTGATTGTATTAATAAGCCATGAAGAATCAATGGCACCATTAATGATCTTATGCAGGAATACCAAGTCAAGGACTGTTCTTCTGTGTGATAAAAGCTTCAGCGAAAATCTAGTCTGCTAGTCTTTAGCAGACAAGAAACTGCACTTCCTTGTTGTTACCGCGCCTGCTTTTGTTTCTGCGACTATCGCCGCCTGCGGAACGCGCGCCGCTTTTGAGTCGAAAAGATTGTCTGCTAAAGACGCTGGCTCTCGGCGCCGTATACTCTTTCGTTGGCGGCGTTCGTTGCGCCATCTCTTGTCTCCCGTGCGAAACGGCGCAGTGTTGTTTGAAGACCGGTGGCGTCGCTGCATTTCCACAGGGGCTAAGCCTTTTTCTTTCTTTGCTTTTTCCTCGGGTAAATTTGCTCTTTGCAAATTTTACAAAAAAAAAAAAAAAAGACACCATTTGTGGGCAACGCTGCACAAAGTCGTAGCGTGGTAGGTTAAGAAACCGAATTTTGCGGTCGATTTAAAGAGCCTGGCGTCTCCTTGAATCACCCTGTAGAACCTCGTGGCAAGCCGCGGCAAAGACACCATGCAGGTCTCGTTTAAATCACAACCGATCGCATTTAGAACAGGTAGCAGCAAACACGTTTTCGCGGACGCGCTGATCAAATAGCTTGGTCGCATCAGCGTGCCCATTCTTCGCTCGGTAACGTTCTCTTCAGCGTACCGCTTCACGTTCACGCAAAGTATGATATTGATGTCGAATGCGTTCCTTCCTAGCACATAGGGTTAGACCGTCGGCGCACCCTATGTGCTAGGACGACGTTCTCTCTCACGGGAGTGTTTACGCCGTCGAGAAGCCGCGGTTTGCTGCGGCGTATGCTTCGGAGACACATAAGCGATGAAAATGGGCGCCGCGCGGCAGCGCGCGCCAGCACCCATGGCAACCGGTGCTGGCGTAGCTACGTCACTTCCGCAGGGTGCTGTGTCGCTCGAAGCCTGCCTGCGACGCACCTACGCACAAACCTACGCACAGACAAATAGTGGCAAGCGGCGAGTCCCGCGCGGCGCCCACTTTCACCGTTCATGTGTTCCATGCTTGAGAGCGCCGAGGAAACGGCCGACCGAAAGCGAAAAAGAGCAAGCGGCAAGGAGATCGATTACATGACCCCCAGCGCCACGGCTATTGGCCGAACACGCTGTGCTTCAAGCAAGGGCGAAGGTATATCACTGCTGTGCTCGCCTTCTTCTCGGTGCCAAAGCCAAAGCCACCTGCGACAAACATGATCCGTTCGACTTCGTTTTCGCAAACACGACACTCGCCCAGTACGACAAGCTCAGTACAGCTGACGCTGTAAAAGTGGGGTTTTGTTGCAGGCAACTCAAGAAACGCAGGGCGTAGCTTATGCTACTTTTGCTTCATGATTCATTCTTTAGCGTTATCAGCAAATTCAGCAAACTCACGAACTCAAGAACGAGAAACTGTCTGTGACCATAGTAACGAGATATGTGAAGCTGCATGAACTAGGCACGGGCAGGATGACTGCTGCCTACTGAAAACAACAGGCTTACTGGTGTCAGGCTAGCTTGGCCTAAGCTGGCTGCGAACACCGACTAAGCAGAAACTCCAGCGGCGCAAAAAACAAACAAACGAAACACCTTGTTTAACAGTCACTGACAGTTGGTAGTCACCAAGTTACTGAAGGTAAACTAGCGTGAGGTATCAGCACCGCTCATGTGAAGAGACGTAAACTGCGCGTGTGCAGAGGCTATAGATTTCTCCACTTGCTTTTGAAAGTCTGGAAAAGTGCCACCTCCGAGCAGTGACATCAGGAATACGAACTCGTATACATATAAACGGGGAAGCACTCACTTGATCGAATGACGTTTTTGCGAACGCCCACGTTTCACCGAATGACACTTTAGCGAATAGTCGGACGCCGCGAGGCGGCGTTTTCGGGTGGGCCAAATGGGTTCACATTTTTGTAATGAGCCGCCGCAGACTGTCGCCGGCGAAGCGGCGTAAAGCGCAGCGCGGCGGATGGGTTAACGCGCTTCCCGGTTATTCGCTAAAACGTCCATTCGCTAAAATGTCGCTGTTCGCTAAAATGTCATTCGCTCATGTGATATGGACCCATACAAACGTGTGTTTCGAAGAGCACGAGCGTTTATATCCGACACAAACAATCTTTCGCGAACAGTTACTCAAGCGCAGCGCATGCCAAAACACTGGAACTGCTGGTTTGTAACGTAGCTCAATGATTGGGTAAAGGCCTCGCACCGCCTCTCCACTCATGTAATTAAAAAAAAAAGGCCGCAGTCAGAGCTCATGCCATGCACAATTCGCACTCACGTTGTATTATTTGAGCAGTTTTACCTTGTAGGCCATGTTCATTATAAATTTTTGTTTCCTGCTTCAACGGCTATCGAAGGAGGTACGTGTACTATACAGCTACGTTGCGCATCATTTTTTTTTCAGCAACGATATATGTAAAGCGAAGAAAGTGGATTGATTGATTTAAACTTGTCTTCCTCGGCACCGGGACACCCAACGTCTCCATGAAATAAAGCCCCGCTAAACACGTTACCAGTGGTCTCTATAAACAACGGTCCTGTCCAAACACTGCAAGAATAAGAAAAAAAGAAAAAAAAAATGTCCGCATTAATTTTTTTAGAAAGTACATTGGAGAGTTAATCGCTGCAATATACAAAAACTAAAAATATGTTACCTAAAAAAAAAGTTCCTCATTGACGCTGCGTATCACAATTCACCGTAATCAATGCCACAACGCAGGCTCTCTTTGTAAGGTCTAAGCATATCTACAGCTTTGTCATTCGCCGAGTGCCCTCCCCAGATTGCGGCAATTGGCTCTCGAAAGTGCTTTGCGGGAAAGTCGACGCTCCAGATTTCTTAGGCAGTATACCCGGATGCTCTGCAGGAAAGTGAATGCCCAGGATTCTTTAGGCCGCGCTCACAGCTGCTTTTATACGTCGCATACAAACGGCAGATCTGGAGACACTGTACGAGGCGGTGTTCCCTCATTGTCTCACATCGGTCACACAAACACTGTCCGCGGACATGTAACGAAGTTCACACATGTACGAGGCCAACGTGTTTTGAATAAGCTCGAGGAGTGTCCTCAGAATATACCTCCGTCATCGTGTGTGTCTGCAGTGAGTGTCTTGCAGGACGTATGTATACGAGCAATGCGACTTGCGGTATTTAGACCGTGCGAGAGGTTGGCGTTCCCGCGCTCTCTCACCTGAGCAAAGTAGCGAGCATCGAGGGGCGACGAAGGCTGACGGCAAATCAGGAGATGGCGCGCGCCACGACGAGGGACCGTTGCGCCGACCAGCTTGTCCGCCGCTTAGTCTTCGCGCGCAGCCGGTGCGGCGGCGGCGTTGGCGGCCCGCTTGTAGAATCCCTCGAAACCCGTTCGATCGATCTCGTCGAAGTTGCGCTTGGTGAAGCCCGGCCAGCCCACGTTGTCGATCTCGTCGAAGTCCCCGTGGCCGTACCACCGCTTCCGCGCCGCGTGCTGGTCGCCGCCGAACGTCAGGCCGCTCAAGGAGTCGAACCTGCGGGAGTGGGCACACAGAGCGGGGCACGCGTTTAGCACGAACAAGCAGCTGCCAGTTTGTGTGGGGCGTTTCCGGTCAAATGGATAGGCTGTGGCATACAGACTGATATGGCGGAGACTTTAAGAAACGCAACGCGCGTGATTTTTTATATTCACGACTCGTTTCGCCGGCGCTCTTATCGGCTAATGACGCAACCCGATTGACTGAGGAACGTTACGAATTACGCTCGGCTCTCGATCACGCCCAATGCTTCTTAAGTTGTCGGCGGAAACACCCGCCGCAAGACGATATACGTGGTGAGACTCGACTTGGTTTGACTGCCTGCATTGCGGATAGACAACCGGCTGCTCGATGCTACCCCTGTTTTCTTTTTCCTCGTAACGATACGTAACTATATTATATATATATATATATAATGAAGTGTAAAGCTAATCTTTATTAACGGAAATAACGGAATCTATATAATGTAATTTTTATGACCGCCGCAAGACCGAACGCGTAGTCCCGTGCGGGAAACAGTGCTCGTGACTGTCGAAGTTCCTGAAACCACATTCCTTGAGCTAGCCCTTGAGTTTTGGTTTAACTCTTTTTTTTTTTAACTTTTTTATATTACCTCGGCGAATACGCGACCATTTATTGTACATTTTTATAGGTAGCGTATACAGCTTTTTCAGCTCATAATGATCCAAGTGCCAGCTTTTTTAATCCGAGTGTCTCTGAATTTAATCCAACTGTACACCAATTTAAAGAAGCTTCAATGAATTTAATCCAAATTGTGAACAATTTAATCTTTCAGCCATTTATCCAGCCAGAGAGTCGCTCAATCAGATTTGAGAGTCACTCAATTTCTTCCGTTCATATCTGTGAATTAACTATGACTACTAACTCATATATGTTACAACCGTTTTAGAGGTCTATCTTGCAAGTCGTGAATGACTTCTAGCTGTATATTTATGTTCATGGCTGGATCTCTCGTGGATTTTGAGGGATTTCTTAGACCATTATACATAAGCCCGAGACTGAGGGATGAGAATGTTTTGTCAGTTTTAGAATAGTAACGAATATTTTCAAGAGGATTGACAGTGAAACCGTGTTTCAACTTTTTTATTTCAATTAGATGTACGCATTCAATGGCATGAATATTTTTTTTTGCAAATCACGATGCTGATTTTCGACTGCGCGTATTCCACACTCGAATATGTGAGCTACATGTCCCGGGTTTGAAGGGCAGGCACAATGTACTTAAAATGATTGCGGTCATGGGCCGCGCAATCAACACGCTGAATTTTCTGGATTGCTTCTTGCGTCTCCGTTTGTAGCACCAGCCATTGGTGTTCATTAAGGTGGTAGCTTCAGGCCGTGCAAGTACGGCTGCACTATGCTCACTGAGGTAAGGTTTCACGCCGGACTTTAACTTGGAAAACATCTCTTCAATTGGGTTGAAGAACGGCATGTATCTGGTAAGTGTTTCAAAGAGTGCCCCTGGGACAAGGTGGCGTCTGCGACTGGTCAGTGTGCGAGAGCATTATAATACATAATGACCGCATCCTGGCCAGGAGCTGTTGCCATGATCTTCCTCTTAGCTTCCTCCAGGAATACGCTGAAAGTCAACCAGGACACTTTTCCCACACTTCTTCACAACAGGATCCCGTCAGCAGACATGCATGCGAGAATGTTGATATTGGGCCCTCTGGTACCTGCAGTCCTCACGACGTCGTTCATCCCACGCTTTGACCTCCGAAGCCTCCGACTACACCAAATATTAAAGATTGCATCGTCAACGTAATATCGAAGTTGAGGCGGGACGCCCGCCTGTAGCCACGAAGCACATTCTTTTCTTGCACTTTTTACGTCATCGCGCTTTCGGTCAACGGGCTGCAGAAAACGTTGCCTTTGTTGTTCAACCGTGCCCATCCAAAAGTCTGTCAATTGTAGATAGGCTGGTTTTGATACCTGGCCCAGTTGCTTCAAGCTCTTGTTTGAGTTGCTTTCATCCACATATAGCTTCCAGAGCCTTCACAACATCGGAGTCGAATGTCTTCTTTGAGCCTCCTCTGCGTTTTGGTTAATCTCTGTCAGTCTTTGCAATTGACCGAGCAGTTTTCACGTTAATTCCTAGTGATTAAGCAAGTTTCTTGATGTTACCGCCTCGTCACCAGCAGTCAAGCCTTCACGCCAGATCTTGAGCGGATGTACCTTTTGGTAGGATTGTTTAGGTAGGTTTGGACCCTTCCGAGGCCGACCTCTGAAGGATCCAAACCAAAATTGTTGACAACTTAGATTAAATTGTTGACAACTTGGATTAAATTAATTGACACTTGTATTAAATTGGTGTACAGCTGGATTAAATTCAGGGACACTCGGATTAAAAAAGCTGGCACTTGGATTATTATGAGCGGGAAAACCTGTAGATACCCTAATCTAACGTTTTGCGCGAAAAAAAAAATCATGCAGGTAAAGGTTTTAACTTTACCTGCAGGATTTACAAAGTCTAACAAAATTGAATATTATTTAAGATCTTTCACCGAATACAGAGGAGACATCCAGAAAAAAAAAAAAGAAAAGCAGAAAGTTTAAGAAGGAAGAAATGATTAGAGCCAAACAGTTGACACTAATCTCCTTCACTATCGCGCAATTGTCACGTCACCTAGCCATTGGTGAACTTCCTGAACGCCGACTATTCTGTCCACAGCAAAGAAAGCGAAATCGGCCTAATTTATGCTCTTCAGTGACGAAATGCCGCGTGGCGCCGTCCAATCAGAGCATTGCGTCACCGCAGAGAGGGAGATACGCACATTTTTATTTAATCGCCTTTCTGAAGGATGACGCGCATGCCCGTTATTGGATTTATTCTATAAGGAGTATTCACTGGGCGCCATATTTGTGGGTGGTGTCTAGAGCGCATGCTCTGAACGAGCCCACATTAATAGGCTGCTAAGACCGGCAATCTTGAGGGTGCGGAATGCACGTTACAAAGGAGCTGTGGAAGCTCGCCTTGAGCACGCGCTAAGCACTCATGCACATAGTTATGGCCGCCAGTGAATACTTCCTATACTTTGTGAAACCCGTCGATAAAGTCGTCACCATAAAAAAAAAAGAAAACCTATAATTTAGAAACTTTTTGAGTGCAATAGACCGATCTCACCAGCCACAGAGCCGTGTATAGAGAGAGTTTGGTCAATGGGAGGCGCGGGCAGAGCCAGGGTGTGCATGAGGCACAGAAAGAGGGCTTGACATGCTTTCTTGGCCAACAGGAAGCCGAAAAGAATCCCCTAGCGGTAGTAGCGAGAAACATTCTGATCAAAGGTATATGTTCGTATATGGTTTTAATAGGCACGTAAGAGTGAAGTGTAGTAACTATTCGTGGTTGAAAATAGGGTGCACGTGATGTTTCGATCATGATCATGCAGAAAGATGTAAGAAACGAATGCGCCGCTCAACTCTGTTTTGCTCGGACAGAGTGTGACCGCTCGGACCGCGGATTCCTGGCCCTCGGCGCTTGGCGTAAGTATTATGTTGATCGTTCCGCTAGTCGCACTCTTCCACCATCATTTTGAATGAGCGCAATTTAAACATTACCATATTTTCAGTCACCGAGAGTAACTCTGATGCACTTATCAGGTTTGTTTCTCGCGACCACCGCCAGGGTATTATATCCGGCTTCTGGTTGGTCACATTCGAATTTCTGAAGACGCCCTGGAACACGCTCAGCCCGCTTTCGGCCAATGGCGCTTCTTAATTAGACTCCCGTACTTCCCAATGAATGGTCAAACTTTCTACATATACGGCTCTGACCAGCCAGTTTGACATATGCCACCACTGCCGCAATGCATCGAGGGAACTTGAAGCCTGGTTCAGACAGTTACGTTTGACTGCGTTTGATTGCGTTTCACTGCGTTGCGGCAGCGAGAAACCAGGACATCCCTGCTGCTTATATCGCGTGCCAAGATGATTCCTTGAATTGGATTCCACGCTTCATACGAAGCACAGATGTGCCGGTGACTCGCTTTCGGTTCTCGACGCAACGCAGTCAAACGAACTCAAACGCAAGTGTCTGAACCGGCCTTTAGTCTTTCTGCCCGTGCGACAACCTCGCTGGAGCTCTGCGCGTGTAGGCACGAGACGGCAGGAGCCCTCTCGTGCACTGCCCTGGCACTGCCCTCTGCCTCCTGCGAACTAAAGTTATGGCGGCGTCACGCATGCGCCGAACGACGCTTAGTGAGAGCGGTCTATTCTATACACTTTATTCCCACATGGGCGCAGCCATTTTGAACGTCGTCACTTCTGGTATGCGGTAAAACATCGTTTTGATCCCTCCACGTCGCTGGAAGGAGTTTACGAAAAATGCGTTATTATCACACATTCTTGTTTTGCCTCACCTACATTTTCTCGCATATTCCAGGTTGAAATGTTTATTATTTTTTCGTCCCGCAAACCAGATACGGAACCCATGTGACAGAGAACGACAGGAAACAAAACAGAAAAAACACAAGAAAACGTGTATACTGCATTGAACGGAGCGCAAGTTGGTCTGCTTCTCTTGCAGGGGTTGTGGTGACGTCAGAACGCCAAGCTCTGACTGGCTCTGATTGAAGAATAGTGATTATAGATCTTGACGCAAGCTGCCTCGGGGTCTACCCACTATCATTCTAATTGGAGCCACTCAGAGCTCGGCGTTCTGACGTCACCACAGCCCTAGCAAAAGAAGCAGACGAACCTGCGCTCCGCATACCACCAGCCCCAAACGTCATCACCAGGGGATCCTGTCAACGCCACCTACCTTGCGTCGGCATAACTGACGCGCGTCTGGTGGTTCCTCATAACGAGCTAACAAGACGCGCGGCGACGCCAAGACGCACGCGTCTGCCGCTTTACGGCGGCTCTCGTCGAGCTTCTGGTGTTTGCCGCTTGGGGCGGGTTGGCGATCCACTAACGATGACGTCATAAGCAAATCCTGCCAAAGCTCAGAATAAAAAAATGAAAGACGTTTGCAACACCCTGTAACACCTAATTAGAGCGCATCTCTTGAGGAGGAGGAAGGAAGGGTACGGAAGGGAGGGTGTACCGCTCCTCCCTCCTCCTTACCTCCTCATCCTCTCTGCTACTCCTCCCCTCCTCCCTCCTCTTCCTTCTCCTTCTCGCTTCCTCCCCTCCTCCTCCCTCCTCTCCTCCTTCTCATCCCCCCTCCTCCCCTGTTCCCTTCTCCTCTTCTTCTCTCCTGGTCCTCCTCCTCCTCCCTTCCGCTCCCTTCCCCCTCCCCTTCCTCTATCCGCTCATCCTCTCCTCCCCTCGTCCTCCTCCCTGCGCGTTGCATCATGGGAAATGTCTCATAATGCACCGCGTGAAACCCTCGTGACGTCACACGTGACGTCATGAGGGTCTTGCGCGGTGCATTATGGGACACTTCCCATAATGCACCGCGCAGTTACGCCGACGGCGACGGCGACGGCGACGCCGACACCGCTCAAACCGGAAACGGGCGCCTAAGAGCTGCGCTCTAAAAACAGAAAAAAAGTAACGTGTTCAGAGACAGTGAGTTAGCCGGTTCACTTGCTCTTTGATTGTCTTAGCGCACGTCGAATTTTCTCGATCTAATCGTACTCCGAGTTGTGTCACTCGCTGTGATCCTTCCGGTTTCGCCTTGATTGGCTGCTTCCTTGTTCAGCAAAAAAATGAACTCACTAGCTTTCTTTCTTTTTTTTTTTTTTTGAGGGAGTGGTCTAACGGCCTTGCTGAACTCTGTGCGGTCTCCGAATCTTTCGTCGGCAGCTTTCTCGTGGCAGGGGTGCTCGCGTGCCCTTTTTAATGAAGGGGATCGATATACGATGCCTTTCGTTCGCTATATACACAACGAACGCGCGTTCGGTTCCCGCTGTAGATCCTATATAGTGTGCTCTGGACGTGCACCATCCCTGACGCAAATAATTACCCCAGTTTCGAAGTTGTTTGAGAAATACGGGTGAATCTCGAATTGGTTCAGAGAAGCGTGGCGTCGGAATTCGATTAACGTGGATCGCGTATAGAACAGCGAGGCAGGACGTCGCCACAGATATCCGCGACTGCTGTAACGTAAATAGCGAGCCGCTGATTCTGTGCCCGAATAAGAGAGCAACCGGAGCCTGCAGAGCACCGAATTTGACCCTGAAGGGCCGCTGTGTCTGTTAAATGTCGAGCCGTGATTGAATCGGTTCATTAGAAGGACACACTACTGTATTCAGCGACACACACTTGCGACTTCTTATGATCGTGAGCCTTAAGACTGGTTCACACACTTGCGACTCTTTACGACCGTGGGTGCACTCACTTGCGACTGTTTCTGGCCATGTGGCGTAAAATCTCTTAACCTCTGCGTTTTCATTCTGTGTCTGCACAACGTTGTTCGGCGCGTACTATTTTTTAAACTGTTTGTCGCGGGGTTTAGTGCATGGTGTACCTACCCCGTCGTTACAATCGTCCCAGAGGTAGTATCCTCATCAGATGCGCTAAAAATGAACAAAATTACGCGTGAACAGCATTCGCTTTTCTTAATGACACGTGCACGCTTGTCATGCGAAAAACGTTTTGGCACAGTAAAGAAGAAGAAGGAAAAAAAAAAAAAAAAGACGACAAGAGCCCTTGGCACAAACACAGAATTCGCAATGGTACAGTTTAATATTGGCTAGTACGCATTGTCGCGGTTACCTTCACCAATCCGCTAATGACCTGATATTAAAACCACAAAACGCAATGCGTGCTTTTTTTCTTTTTTTGTAACAAAAGATTTGACAGTGCGTATCTTACAAGATGACAATGCACATGTCGAGTGAACACTTGCGATCGCGACAGTTTTACGCTACAAAATACAGCCTAAGGCAATGCAAACTTGGTGCTGCGTGCGCATGGAACAAGCATATTTGCTCTCGTGTTTACGACGCCAAGTAACTTAACGTGCCTGGAGTTAGAATTAAGTTCTAAGCATGCAGAGCCCTAACCCACCTACAGACTAAACTGGTGATAAAAAAAAAATGGAATGTCTTGTCGTTTTTACAGTTAACTGCGGGACATTTAAAATTTCTTGGCATACTTTCAACTTTTTACACTTTGCATGGAGAACCTTCGAAATCAGGTATATCTGAAGTTCAGCTTAGCCGCCTCTTTACCAAGAAACAAATACATATTTTAACAAAATCTACGAGCGAAAATGAACTGGCGAAAATTGAACATTATTATACGAAGAACCTCCACTGATTTGAGGACTGCTGACGTCAACTGCGGCGCCACCATACACAGGCTGTGCAGCAGGCGCAGGGCACAGGGATCGAGGTCACTGGCGCTCTTTGGCGGCTTCGGTTTGGTTTGAAGTCGGGGTCGGCTTGCTGGAAAGAGCATCTCAGCTTAGATTGAGGGAAAGAAAGCACTGTCAAGGCCAGCGCACGAGCTGAGTGGGACTAAAAACCGCGTCTGAACACGCTCGCGCGCCCCAGCCTTTGCAGTGCTTTCTTTCACCCAGTCTCAGCTGAGACGCTCTTCTAGCTAGCCGGCCCTGGTACAAGGATGTAATTTCTCGGCCCTTTGAGCTCACTACTAAGTTATAATCAATATTTCACGTCACGGCTAAACTAAAATACTGTCGTTCCTCATTTTGGTCCCCCCCCCCCAACCAAAAAAAAAGAAAAAAAAAGAATGCTATTTAAATATTGTGTTAAGTAGCTAATTAATTAATCAATTTCGCCTTTTTTTTTCCAGCGGCTGTGCATTCGTCAAGTTACAAATCAAAATAAAGGATGTTAAACGTCTCTACTTTTCCCCCTACAAGAGTACGTTGAGAACCAATCATCGCGATTAACGAAGAAATTTCTTATCTAATGACGAGGCCCTGAAAAACGTTCTCGAGCCAAACATGCCAATCAATCTCACTGTCCCAGCGCAAACCGCGTTTTCTTCTAAATGTGTTTTCCGACATCGCCACACTCTAGCCTTTCTGCGGTATTCCGCGATATACCTTGGTGGTGTACATGTCGTTGCACGTGAGCCGTTTGACGTGCTGTTCATTCGAAGCAGTCAGCTCTATTTTCGTTCTTCCCAAAAGCCGGTTAACACATAGGCTACAGCGCTATACCTCAGCGCTCGAAATGCCCCTGACCTCGCTCATGCAGCGCTGACTTTGCGTTATAGGTCAGTGATATAGCACCGATAGAGCGTGGCATCGGTGCTAAGTTACGCTGAAGTTAAAACTAACTCACACATTTGCGTTTGACTGTGCCGTGTGTGATATGGGATCTCTTGTAACCTCTGGCACACTGACGCCATCTATCGGGTAGACTTGGAACACTGTTAAGTCCTACGGCATGCAGCCAAGGCTACGATCCGATGGAACCAATCAAACAGCGCTAGAAGTGCATCATCCCGGCTCTCGTCGTCCTTGTGCGTTTGCTATATATACGAGTGAACCAATCACGCACGCACATAGATAAAGCGCAGAATCGCGCCACATTTACTCAGCGTGATTATAGTTTAGCCGGTGATAACAACGCACTAATTACAAGAAATAGTCACCGATAAAATTGTCGAAATTATTTAAAGCTTACGACGAAAAACAGATGCCTAGACAATTGTAAAAATATATCGCAGGTCAGAAGTCTTCCAGGGGCGCACGATAAATGGCGTCAGTGTGCCAGAGGCTACAATTGAGATCACAACGCACTCGGCACGGTACAAGACAAATGAGCGAACCGGCCTTCCGTGCTGTTCTTTAAATTAGCGCTGCGATGTATGTGTGAACCGGCCTTGTAAAGGCCGGCTCACTCATGTAAGGCAGCGGTGAGACGACGCAAAGTCGACGCTGCGTCGACACATCTGTCGGCGCTGACTTGGCGCAGAGTTATAGAGCTGCATTGTATGGTCCAAGCGGGAAAAGGTGGAGTCACGTGCAACGGAGCGCCGATACAGCACAAAGTCAGCTCTGGGTCTATGCGCAGAGATACCGAGGGAGAGGAGGAGACGAGAGTCCGCGCGGGGACGTCATAGGCCCTAACCTACACGGTAGGACCAAGGGCCCGGGACACGGCCGTCTGCTCCGATTGGCCAACTCCGCACCGCTGACCAATCGCAGCAAATGGCAATACCCCGGTCATTTGGTCCTGCTGTGTAGATTAAGGCCCCAGAACGACCGAGCTCTGGTTCAGATGATTAGTGGGTAGACCTATAAAACTAGCTGCCTTTGTCTCCACTGCACTCGTCGAATGCGTTCGAATGCGAAAGCCAAACGCCGGACGCTGGCGTTCTGCGCTCTAAAAGGCGTTCGACGAGGGCAGTGCACACAAAGGCACCTAGCTTTACGGTTTACCCGCTATTCGTTCCAACCAGAGCTCGGCGTGCTGACGTCCAGTCTCCTGCCCTCCAATCGTTTCTCAGTGCATAGCGCTGATCGAGTGAGCGCTGCCATGTATGCTTGAACCGGCCTGCATGCGCTTCGAATGAACTGACCTCTTAGCCGCCGCAGGCCCGGCTGGGAAGCCAGGCGGACCCATGGCCCGGATGTACTCCCCGCCGCTGATTCTGTCGAGGCCTCTGGGCACCGTGAGGCGCCTGAGCGCGTAGGGCCCGCCCAGGGACCGCAGCACCTCGCCCGACGACCTGTCTTGAGACTCCGGCATCGCCCTGAGCAGTTCGCCGCCGCTGATTTTGTCTAGGCGGCGGCCGCCCAGCCGGTGCAGGGCCCGGATGTACTCGCCGCCGCTCAATTTGTCCAAGGTGCGGACTCCCTTGCCGGTCTCGGCTTCGTGACCGTCCTGCGGGGGAGCGAAATAATGTGGTTATGACTCATAAAATTGTTGTTAGTTGCCGATAGCTAGGGCTCCGTGTTTTCGGAGTTTATTTTTCGTGAAATTCGGAGGGTGTTTTTTGGAGTTTATTTTTTAGCACAAATTCGGTGTTTATCGGAGTTTATTTTTCATAAATCCCCAATTCTCCGAAATTCGGAGATTAATTTCGCGGTGTTTCCTATTAAAAATAATAAATAATAACCGAATGCAAACGTATGCCAGATAAACAATAAAACGCGCTTGTATCAATTAAGATTTCTTCAGTGGAATTTGACGCTGGTGTCATTGGCAGTACTAATTTGTCCCACGACAAAAGTCGCACACAAGTGTGGCTTCGATAAACGTCGATACCTTAAAATCAATAAACTGCCGGAGATAGCCGCAAGGAAGCTCGTAGTCATCCGATCAATCTATCCCGCTGCCGCGCGAGGTGGGTGTAATAGAGAAGTTCCAACTGCCCCTCTTCCCTATTTTATAAAATCTCTATGGTCCATAGCTTTCACTGTTACCCCCAGAAACATACCCCCTCCTTTCTCTAAATTCCAAATCTTATGGCCCAAACTGGAAACCAAAAGAGTGTCTTTTGTCGGGACACGAATGGTACGATGACCTTTTTGCCTGAACCGTCCTTGACGAGACAAGCCGTAAGACCCCCTTTTGACAACGGTCCGAGGCTTGAAAGATAATTATGGTGTCATTTTCCCAGGACCATTGAGCCTGCGCTGCCAAAAATGTAAAACAAAATTAAAAAAAAAAAAAATTTTTTTTTGTTGCTTGGGGCCCTTCCCCCCCAAACAACAAATTTTTTTTTTTTTTTTTTTTAAAAGGGGGGGGGGGGGGGGTGGCATGGGACATAACAATTCGGAGTTTATCGGATAAATCCGAATTGCCAAAAAATTTACCGGCGGGTGCTTTTCGGAGTTTTTCGGATTTATCCGCAAACACGGAGCCCTACCGATAGCCTAAGGAGACAGGGGGCACGGCTGGTTATGTTCACACTGGTGACGATCGAGGTTGGGGCCACTACGGGTCACGTGGTCAAGTCACGTGACGAAAGCCGTTAAATTTAGCTAGTAAGCGTGCGTTTTGTGGTTACACTTTTGCACAAAAAAAAAAGAAAAAAAAAAAGGGGGGGGGGGGGGCGAAGAACGTATTCGAAGTGAAAACCGTATATAGAAAGCTATAGCTCTCCGTTGCAAGCTTTCTGATCGACTGTCCGAATGTTGGAGCGGAAGATGTATACACGGTCATTGTCACTGCTCATTACTCTTTATAGTTTTACCATAAAAAAATAACCGGACTTTTCATCTCTCTCACTTCGTGTCCCAAGTTTCGTCCCACATTGATAAGCTTTCAGCACGCAATTCAGCCGGAACTGGTATACGTTCAATCTAAAAAAGTGGCCTTACCGCTTCGGTTCTTTCGTTTTTTCTTTCATTCAAGGTTAAACTGCTATACTATGTTCCGATGCTTTCGATTAACGAGTCATATATTTAAACACGGACAGTAAGAGAGCCAAAAATCTGTTTGGCTAATTCTACTCGTCCCACCGTGTTGTCGTATTTTTAACGCAGGATAGAAGTTATAAGCGGGTTTTCGATCCCACTGTTGAGAACTAACTTCGGCATACGGGGAGAGTAAAACGTGCGCAACCAACTGTTTTGGACAACCTGGTTTCACGCGACATCGACATCCGAATAGATCTAGATGGCGATGTAGCGTGAAATGAAGCTGTTCAAAACCGTCTCGTGTTCCTACGTTTCCTCAATGTTTTCGAAAAAAAGGTTTACAAAGAGTGCAGGTAGTGATGTATGTGTTCCCTGCATTGGGTAAAACTTAGGTTGATGTCACTGGAAAAAAACTTATTTGAAACAGCTGTTAATGTACCTTTTATTGTACAAATAGTGAAGTTATTCCTAACGAGTTGCAAATTTAACCTACACTTTTGCAACTATTCTTCGTCCAACCGAATAAACTAGGTGTGCCTGTCATCCTGCCATATTTTAAGATACTCTGTTTCACAACACGATAATGATTGAGACAAATGCGCGGTATGCCTCCATCTCTAGGCTGTTTTCTTGTCAGTTGTTTCGGAGCGTGTGTAAGTTATACGTTTTACCGAATGAAAGCTGCTGCTTAACTTTACGTGAAGTAATATTGATACTGTAAGCTATGAAAGTTGTGTTACTGTTTAGTTTGCTTTCTCTATACAACTGAGCTTGTAATGCCCTGGAACTTTATCATGTTTTACAGCTGCGAATGTGTTTTGCGCCCCTCCATTACTTTCTCCCCTCAACATCATATTGTCACATAGCGTAAAATAAAGATTTTGCATTTTACAATACCGTGAAGTAGATGGGAAATCAATACTGAAAAGTCAGTATTTTTGCCACAGAGAGAGTATACGTGACAAGGACAGAATACGAGAAAGAGCGAACCAAGAATATTTGCTGGAAGTGTATAGTGAAGTCAAAATCACACTAGTTTATTTTAACACAAATGCTTGATTGTCTATCACTGATAGTGTATAGTATCGAAGCGGTGGTTCCAAGGATCTTATAGAAAACTGTATATGGGACTTCCTTTTTACGTTACAAAGCTTTCGAAGACTGTTCAGTTCACTTCGATACCGATACCCGATAACAATACGGTGCGTGCACAAATGAGCTGGCGGAGTATCGGGTATTCTTACCGGAGTTATCGGAGCGATCTGCTAAAACTCCCCATTAAACTGAGAAGCCCAGTCTATAAGGGACACTACGAAAGACAAACTAACATCACTCGTTTTAGCGTACTTTTTTATCGATCGATTGTTTCTTTTCTAAGCATGTGCTTTTTAGCTAGGATTAAGGCTGACCCTAATACAAGTTTATCATTTTACTACAAAAAATTTATTTTTTTACTTGTGATTTTTGGAAGCAATTATAACTCACATCTCAGAGCCCTTATAGGGATCCAAAACTTCGGGGTCTAGAACCGTTCGAGCCAGTTAAGAGAGAAGTTCTAACAAATACACCCACGCTCCAGATTTCGGACATCCTACTATTCGCAACCATGTTCCGAAGGGATTACAAATCCATTTTTTGTTCCTCTCTGAACACGGGACAATCCTCTTTCGAGCCCGCTTTTTGCCCATTCCGGGTCAGCGAGTGGATATCCGGCCCGTTCCGATCCCCGCCTGGATGACGGCGGGTGCACATATCGCTAAACCCCAAACGATCGCGGATAATCGCATCACGCTTTCGTCACCTTACAGCATGACCTCTTTGTTTTCACGGGGCAACAGGCAACCGCCCAAACGCAAACAAAGATACCGAAGGGTCCATCATCCCCGGCCCTGTTATAGCTGGACATCCCACCTTTTTTGTCCTTCGTGGAGATCCATCTTCTCCGGCGGACAAAAGAAAGGGACACGACGTTGCCGGAGAGGATCGACAGCCACGGACGCTCCTTCATAATGGTCCGTGTTTCGTAGCAACCGCGCGGTCTAGTATATACCGACTCCGAATAGAGCGTCGCGAGATGTAGCAACAACTCGGCGCCTCTATCGTCGTCGCTAGCAATAGCGCGCTTCTGTGTACCCTGGGAGTAGCAACACAAAGGACGCGGATGCATTGTTTCTCTTCGAGTGCGGACCAAGAGTTGTGGTGCCTGTCACGCGAGCATCCGTGCTGTAGTCGCAGCGACCGAAGTGCACAACAGGAACACACGGCGCGTCCCCTGGGGCGTGTGTGAGTGCGTGTGCGCACGCGCGAGTGCGGGCACCGGACAATGATTTCGCCCGTGATTTGTGATCGCGTAACGCTTAGTCGCTGTAGTTTGTTTCCAACTCGGGTGTACATGTATGCCTGGGGTCGTTAGTGATAAGAAGAGACCCTGAGTTTGGTCCGGGGACGCGAAGCGAAGGGTGTTTGCGCTCGCGTGAGTGGCGGGACCTTCGATCGGTGTTTTTCATCGGTGTTGCTGTATTTGGGGTACGTCATTGAAACGCGGTTTTGGCCGCCGAAGGGAGGGCACGAAGGACAGGACTGCTATAGATCGCGAGGTAGGAAACAAACAATTATATTTGCTATTATCGGAAGTGTTGGGTCAAGCGTTTTGGTAGGCCCAAGACCGGCCTTCAAACTATGTGCTTTGGAGTGGCAGCGCGAGCTCACGATGCCAATATCGTTTAACGGAAAATGTGCCGTGCATTAGAATGGGCGAGTGTCACACGATAAAAAAAATCACCTAAAAATTTACGTTTCTTGCGGTTCGAATAAAACTGAATAATTCCTTTTGTCAGAGTATATTTCCTAGTTTTGCCGAACACATGCGTGGGATTTCTTGCAGGAAAGGCCGAATTCCTTTGTATTTTTGAACATATTTTTTTCCTTAGTGCTTTGCTCCAACGGAAGCTGTTAGCACTGGGTTCTACATGAACACCAACGTGCTACATGAACATCCACGTGAAAAAAATTAAATAGACTAATATATAGAATTGCAGATAGTATTGCCTATGGTTCGAAATTTGAAACTCTTGATAATGGTGAAAAATTGTCCACTCTACAAATATAGCAGGTTGAGGAATTGAGGGAATATATAATTTTAATGAAATATTATTATACTAACGATTTTAAGAATGGAGCCAACAGACAAAAACATCTGAGGCATTCTGAAACCTTTTCCATTCCTATGGTATACACAAATTACGGGAGGCGTTTAAGAAAATATTACATTTCATTCTCCTTTAATAAACTTCCGGAAGAATTGTACGACCTGCCGTCTCTGAAAGACACGAAAAAGGAATTAAAGGAGTGGTGCTTTCGTCATGTTTAGGTGTATACATACTGTTCCTTCATTTGCTGTCCGCTTTGCCTGTGTTAACTATGTATATCCTGTTCTGAGCAAAATATTTGTGTTACCGTTGTTTTAATTATTTTGAGCCCTCTGTTGGGTTGCCACGGTCCCGCACACAAGCGCTCGCG